GAACCTAACCTCTTTTACAGCTAAATGATGCTCTTAACTCCCAATGTGTATGTGGCTTTGTTTAGTTGAATTATTATAGATAATAATAATAATAATAATAATAATAATAATAATAATGGTAATATAAAGCATGACTTAGCCAGTGCTATACACTTTAATCTCCAATTTATTTCAGTGGAATAGTTAAACATGTGCTTAAGCAGAGAACATTAAAGCACAGATGGTAGTGGCACTGTTACAGAAGAAAATGTGTTTCTTCTAAAAAAAAACCAAAACATTAACTGGAATATCTCTGCATCTGACCCACCAGGAAGTGGCCCCTGTGCCACTCTGGTATCCTATGAATCAAACATCAAATGTTACTTCTACTGATAAATTGTGAGACTTGAGACTCCAGCACACCATGGGTGAGCAGATGGTTGAAAGCACGTATACCACACATTTTTTAAAAAGTTGACTGTTGAGAAGGCAGCACTTCAGATGAAAAGCCTTCCAATCTGCAAAGGCTTTTAAAGGTAATCACCTGCACTTTGAACTGGGTCTGGAAACAAATTGGTAGCTAGTGCAGTTCTTTCAACAAGGAAAGTTACATGCTCCAAGTAAGCATCTCCATATAATAGCCTGGCTGTGGGAGTATGGGAGATGATGGTGGAGTGGCTTGATAGCCAGCAAGATGAACACATAATTTTCTAGCTCCTGGTTTTATCTGCTAATAAATCAGCTTAACAGACCTGATGCTTGAACTGAAAGAAATGCATTAAAACATGGACAGTGAAACAAAGATCTCAGCAACAGTTAGATCTGAGTTTAAAGTCCCATATTCCCATCTGAAATAGACTGGAATTGCTAAGAACTTAGGGAGACAGAACTGAATATTAGATGGCAAAGAGCTACCTGAAGCTGTAAAAAAGTGCCAAACTTGTGGGGAAAGGGCCAGGTGACGGAGAGTATAGATTGCAAAATTAAAATGGGGAATTATTCAGGCTTGGACTAAGAGCTAATATAGGGGATGCTGTTAGAAATTAAATGGTCTGTGAGAAATACCGTATTTTTCATCCCACAGGACACACCGGCCCATAGGACGCACCTAGTTTTTTTGGCTTGCTGATAGCTTGCTGAAGCCTGGAGAGCGAGAGGGGTCGGTGCGCACCGACCCCTCTCACTCTCCAAGCTTCAGCGAAAGCCTGCATTCGCCCATAGGACGCACCCAGATTTCCCCTTCATTTTTGGAGGGGAAAAAGTGTGTCCTATAGGGCAAAAAATACGGTAGAAGGGGAAACGCAATGCACTTTTTACTCCACTGCATCAGTTACAGTTGTCCTGATGTGAAATTGACATTAAGAAAGAACATGACATTAAGAAAGAGGTCTCCAGGAATGGACTACTTATACAATTTCCATACCCTTGCAAATGGTGGTGGTTAGCAACAATAAATCCAAATCTCACTAGGTAATGGGGGTGACTCAGTGCCCACCCCTCGCAACCATCCTCAGCCCACCTGGTGGCAAACAGTGTTGACACATCCTAATGAATCTTCCCGAGTTAAAGAATGGCCACTATACCAATTTTACACTGCTTATACAGCGGTGTTTCTTGTCAAATCAAGGCCACAGTAGTATATATGAATTTTACTGGCACTCATTAGTGACCTTGGCTAGGACAGAAAGAACATTTGATTGTGGAATAGAAGGCAAGCAAGGCTGGATAATAAAAAAGGCTTCAAGAGGAGAGATGAGTCATAGACATACAAAGATAAAAGCTTTGCAAATGATACACCCACAGAATCTTATCATAAGCAACATTTTACTTTAGCTCCTATTAATGGGAGTTTTGAGAAATTATGTAAGAACTTTAAAGGGCTCACTCTTAACTTGATGGGAGGTTATGAAAGAGAATATGTAGCCAGAATATTCCACTTGGGAATCAGAAAGCTTTTTTTTTTTTTTAATGTTGTTAATATTAGTAGCTCCTTACTTTAGCTGGACAGCTGTTAAGAGTTGTATGGAAATCAAGGGTTGTATGGAGACAGTTTGTAAAACAAACCCCAATATTTGATTATTATTTTTGCTTTTGTGTCTATTAAAAAGACAAGAAATGTACCGTATTTTTCGCCCTATAGGACGCACCGGCCCATAGGACGCACCTAGATTTGGGGGGGGGGGAGATAAAGGGGAAAAAATATTTCCCCCCCAGGCACGGGGCTGGGGCGGGGGAAGCCCAAGCTTCCCCCGACGCCATCCCCCAGAATGGGACCCAGAGCCATGCCGAAGCTACGTGCAGCTTTGGCATCACTCTGGGAGCTTGCGGGGCTGGGGGAGGGGGAGCCCGAGCTTCCCCCTCCCCCAGCCCCCAGAATGGGACCCCAGAGCGATGCTGAAGCTGCACGCAGCTTTAGCATCGCTCTGGGAGCTTGCGGGGCTGGGGGAGGTAGAAGCCCTCTGCCAGTCTTCTAACCAAGTTGGGGGACAGCAGGAAAGGCGCGCTGTGCCTCTCCCGCTGTCCCTCGAGCTTGTGGGGCTGGCGGTGGGGCTCTCCTGAAGCCTGGAGAGCGAGAGGGGTCGGTGTGCACCAACCCCTCTCGTTCTCCAGGCTTCAGCGAAAGCCTGCATTCGCCCCATAGGACGCACACGCATTTCCCCTTCATTTTTTGGAGGGGAAAAAGTGCGTCCTATAGGGCGAAAAATACGTCCTATAGGGCGAAAAATATATATATATTTGCTCATGCTTTAATAACTACAGGTTTGTATAACAGCATTATAATATTGGTGGTTTTATTTTCAATCCCTTTGCTATGAATCCCTAGTATGGAGTTTACTCTTTCATAGCAGTAGTGTTTTGCACTGACATTTTCATCAAGGCGTCTACCAGCTGTAGCCAAGAAGAGTCCCTTTTCTGTTCAGTCATTTGCAATCACCTGTATACATAATTAACATTAGTTCTTATGTGGTCCCCATGGAGAAAGATATTTAAAGTCACCTGGGCTTCCTTTGACACCTTAAAAAAATTACTCAGATTATGGTTCTAGATTCAGATAGGTGGCCATGTTGGTCTGACGCAGTCTGTGTGTGTGTGTGTGTGTGTGTGTGTGTGTGTATGTATATATAAACACGTGAGTTGGGGTGTCTAGGCGACGTTTCGACGAGGTCTCACTCGTCATCTTCAGGCTGGTGCTTTCGGCTTCTTGTTACTGGAACAGAGCAGGATCTCAGTGTTTGAGTTCCTATAAATACTGTTGAGGGGGTGTGGTGTATAGCCTCCAATGTTCTGGGCAGAGAGGAAGTTCCCAGGTTAGTGTGCCTTTTCTTCTTTTGTTCTTTAATTACTTGAGGGATATCTTGAGTGATTTCTTGAGTGATATCCTGAGTACCACTTAGGTGGGTCATTAGGTGTGGATTAGTTGCTAAAGCCTTCGTGTCTTGACCTCTTGAACTTTGTGAAGAGTTTTTCTGAGAAGATGGCTGTACTGCACTTAGTTGTGCTCTGGCTTGGCTTCGTGTATAGGGGCGAGCTGTGGTTTTGTGTCCTGTGCCAGCCAGATCTGTGTAGGGATTGCAGGGGGGTGCAGCATCCGGAGGTGCCACCATGGTTTGGCTACTGGATGGTGTCTGTAATTTATCTGTGGAGAGGGTCTGGGTTTGGGTCTGGTGTGGTTGATTGGTGATGGCGTTCTGTGTGCCTCTGGATCTGGTGTCGGTTTTTGTGGGGAGGGCTAATTTCCAGATGTCTGGCAGGCGGGATGTGTCGTCACGCTTGTTCATGTTGTGAGGGTGTTTCTCTATCTCGATGGCTTCCATGATTATTCTCTTGTGGTGATGTTCCATGTTAGAGAGCAATTTGGAATCTGCAAAATTAATTTCGTGTCCTGTTTCTTTCATGTGTTGGAAAAGAGAGGAAGTTTTTTCTTCTTTTTTGACGGCATTCTTGTGTTCTGCGATACGTGCATTTATTCGTCTGTTTGTTTGTCCAATGTACGTGGCTGGGCAGACTTTGCAGGGTATTCCACCCCAACTTTTACACGGGAAGACACCCGAGGACACCAAAACCTGCATTCCTGTACCCGTGAAAATCTACGAAAGCATATATATGTATATGTATATATATGTATATATATATATATAGTACAGTAGCACGTTAGAGACCAACTAAGTTTGTTCTTGGTATAAGCTTTTGTGTGCATGCACACTTCTTCAGATACAGATTATGGTGTCTGTGAAAAATGGTACTCAGTTGGGCTGTTCTTAACTTGCTATGTGAATGCATATTTTGTTTTATTGTTTTATTGAGAGCCAAACTGCATATGCAAACTGAACCTCATGACATTTTTTAAGATTGAAAGTGGAGAAATGGTGAGGAATGGGAAGGGGGGAACTTAATATTTTACCTGATTGCAATTTCCAGTTTCCTTGCATCAGTTCCTCCCTGTGGGGGGAAATATCCAGGGGAAATGGGAAGTTTTGCATTTATTTCTTTTACCTTAAGCTTAGTTTCAATAGATTATGGGAACAAGGGGGCTGGGCCCAAAGGCTTCAAGATAAAAGGTTTTGCAAAGGGTTTTGAAGTAGGTAAAGGTAAGGTAAAGGACCCCTGGACGGTTAAGTCCAGTCAAAGGTGACTATGGGGTGCTTCGCTCATCTCGCTTCAGGCAGAGGGAGCTGGCGTTTGTCCACAGACAGCTTTCTGGGTCATGTGGCCAGCATGACTAAATCACTTCTGGTGCAACACACAGGTGTTCTAGCGTACTGTTTTGGGCATAGGGGGCATCAAAGGAGAATGAACAGAGTTATCTGAGGGGACAGAAGACTTTGGGTAGGAGCTATGAATGGGTAAAGCTAGGTATCCATAGGAGGAGAGAGATAAAGGGTTCATGATGATAGAAGGCTTTGAAGGTAAGAATAACTTGTGGATCTAGGTGTAGTTATTGAATATCTGCATGTGATTACTTTTGATCCATTTTGACAACTTCTTGGCACTAAACCGTCCTCTGTTGTCTATATTTCCAGCTGTTTGAACACAATGGAACACTTGGGAACAGTAGAGCCAGAAGATGATTCAGGATTATTACCACGCCTAGCACCTAGTCCACACAGTGAGGCAGTTGCTCATGAATTTCAGGAACTCTCCTTGCAACCCATCCAATGTTTGCCTCCCCTCAATGAAAGGAAGAACGGTGAGTACAAAATATGACAAATATTTGGTGTAGCTATTAAACAAAACTGAATTGTTACTTTTTTATTTAAGTGTACTGTGATTTTACGCCCACTGAAAAAATGAATATCTGAATGTTGTCCAATAATGTTGCAAAATATGCCATATACTCTATCATAAACATTTATACATGTTTCCCTGCTTGAAATACCAGGTGTTCATCCAGTGCTTGCCTAATGTATTCAGCACATCTGATGAATGCTGAGTACTTCCAAAAATATTAATATCTAGTTTTGGAGTTATCAGTTTTACATTTTCTTTATTGGGCATTTATGGAACTTAGTGGTTGCTAGTTTTATCTCTTCCTTTTCTGTTTCTTTTGGCTAAGAGACAGGAGATTTTAATCAGGGCATGTCTGTTCTAAAACTGAAACATGTTTCCATTTGGTGTGGTCTTCATTCTTTGCATTTGTTTAGCAAAGCTTGCATTTGTATGTGGTCATCTGCTGCTTGTTCCCTGTACAGTTGTTTCCTATGTACTTGCAGCTGTGTTCTAAGGCATTTGGGTTTACCTTAAAGAGATACCTGGCTATAATTTGTGCACTCCTAACAGTAAACAATTCTACTGTCTTTTAAAATTTCTATAATAACTTAACATGGAGGCAACTGAGGACAATTTTTAGAATGGGGTTAGAAAGTATCAAGTAAAGAGCAATAGCAAATCCTACCATCTGAAGCAGAAGCAGTGTACAAGAATAACAATACAGTTGTCAACATCACTGTTTCCCATTTCCTCGTAACATCCAGATTTCAGCAATGCATTTTACGTGGGTCTTCCTCTAAAGCTTACTCATAAATGTCTGTTGGTTTGAAATACAACAGCCTGATTATTGACTGGAACTCATCAGTCAGAACATAGCTGACCAGTGTTGAAACCACCTTACTGGCCTCTGATCTGTTTAATTTAAAGTGCTGGTCTCAACCTTTAACATCTAAAGTTGTATACCTTTTGGGACCCAAGTTTTTAAAGTAAAGGAACCATTCACACAAACTTGCTCAGTTAGAAGGATTGAGTTGTATCCAATGGGACTTCCTCTTCCTTTCCTGCAAGCCCCTCCTGACATCTGCTCCAGAGGATTCCCTCTAGATTTTGATGGGTAGAAGGGGAGAGAGGGCAAAGTTGAGTTGTGTGAGAGGAGCGCAGTGTTGGATGCAGCCAATAGTTATCAGAGGCCTTCTGCTGTCAAAAAGTGAGGTGGATTCCTGAATATATTCTTCAGGAATGCTCTCCTATAGGATTTGATTAGGTTCTTGCGGGGGAGGTATTTTTATTGTCTGGACTTGTTAATGCTTTTAATTATTAATCTCTTTAATGTTGCTATGGTTTTTTTGTTGTTTTGTTGTTGTTGTTTTTTTTGAGGATGTTTACTTGTGATTGTTAGGTTAGGTTTTACCATTGATCACTGTTTCTTCTATTTAATTTTGAGATGGTTTTAATGGCTGGTTGAGCCATCTTGAAAATTAAGTTTTGTAAGGTATGAAGCAAATTCTTTAACAATCCCTTGACAAGTTGCACCTTTTTATAGAGGGGTAAACAGAACCATGAAGAAAAGTTAACACTCCTTAATCCAGCATAGTCTTTCTCATAATGATACTTCACCGTGCTCTAATTGTATCAATTTTATGAGAAATTGGTGCTTCATTTAATCAGAAAATCTTAGAATTGCATCCAGTGTTATTCCTACTTAGAGTAGACCCATTGAAATCAGTGGACCTAAGTTATGTCTATTAATTTTAATTCTACACATGTAGAATTTCAGAATGTCAAGCTTTGTGATGAAAAGATCCTTATGTGGATAAGAGAAGGAGATTAGAGCATGAGAGCAGATCCAAATGCACATTCCATTGGCAGTAATGCAGTGCTGACAGGCAACATCTGTATTCCTGTCCTGCGCATGGAAGCATCTTCTCTGAATCAGATCAGTTATCTTTAGCTACCTTTGTCTGTTCAAACTTAAGGCTTGCTATGCTTATGCATAAATACTTAGCATTGGATGCACCAGCACCTAAGAGCAGCATAAATAAGGCTGTAGTTTTGAAAAGCTCTGTTAAAAAGAAAGTCTGGCTGAATAGAGTGGGACTTACTTCTGAGAAAGCAAGTGTAGGATCATGCTGTGCATGTATCTAATTTTCTTGGCTTTGGTTCTTTAGCATAAGGAAGGTAGCACAGTAGGTTTGTACAAGAAATGCTTCCAAGTTGATTCACAACTTGAAAATGAGTGCTTAGATTTTATAGCATCTTATTGGTGATTTATTCTGAACAGACTGGATTTCTTCCAGCACTTCCAGCACTCTTTTCAACCTAGAATTTGGACAGGTATTTATTGTAGTTTCCTTTGCAGCCTGAAACAAATTATTCAACCTCTGCGTGTTGTGACTTGATTCTGCAGCTCATATTAAGAATAAACTTTTTCTGAAAGAAGACACCTTCAAGAAAGTTGGCGAGTGTGACTATGTGCAGTGCTTTATTTCATTTGATCATATACGAGTCAAACTGGTAGTTTCTAGCTTTTTATTTTTTTAAAAAAGGTTGATTTGTACATTCAGTACTCAGTTCTTTTATCTTCATTTTCCTATTTCATTGTGGATCTGTTCTGACAAGAATTCTCCTTGTGCCTTAACAGTACTATGGTAACAACTGGCAAGAATCCATTGCTATTGTCTCATGGAGGTGATGGGCATTCTCACTGCAGTTTTGATACTTGAGGATGTTTTTTGACGGGCAAGATAATGGACAGCCAGGTTTGATATTAACTTCGAAGGAAGATCTTGATGGTTTGCTTTTTAAACATAGGAGAATAAGGACATTTAAGTTCTCAGGGCATATGGTATGGTGAGGTGCCAGCTGAGGGGGAGAAACTGGAGAGGGTGAAAAGGGAATTAACCTGCTAAAGCTGTAATAGGTTTCTTGGATTGAGTGGAGGGAATAAGATTTTATGAGAAATTTGTTATGAGATTTTTTTGCAGGGGGAAATCTCCCCCACTTTGTTTGTTTTGTTTCTTTTTAAAAATGAATTCATCACACTTTGAAATAGTCATGAGTACAGTCAGACAAAAAAAATACTCTGTTGCTGTTTTACCAGTACATCTGGAGTTTAAAAATAACATCGTACATCATGTCTAATAGAGTTCAGTGGGTCATGGGTACAACCATGAACAGCTTTTTTGATTCCGTCATAAAAACACATATAAGGGGTTCGTCTGTCTTCTCAGCTTGGGATCAAATGTGGACTAGGAGACTGCAGGAAATTTTCTGTCCTCTGAACTGTTTGTTGTACACAGCAAGTAGATAAGATCAACATTCCCAAAATGTAACACCTTTAAACACGTTCATCAAAAGGTACCTATCTTGGATTTTGATTCTTGAAGGTCCTTTCCCTAAGTTTAGGACCTGCAACTTAAATCCAATGTTAGAGATACTTTGTATAGCCTACAGATTTTCTTCAAAGTCCTGTAAACCTCCAGCTTTCCTTTTTGAAAACATTTTTTTAAAGCTCAAGTTAACAGGTTAAGACACAATTTCATCCAGGCAGAGACTCTAAATGGGCAAAATATATATGGTCCTGAATGACATCCATATATCATGTTGGGCAAGCCTATCATAAGATTCCTTAAAGTTTTGGCTCATTTATTTCAGCCCTTTGTGTTCCTAGTACATGTCATCTTAAGGTTGAAAGGAGTGACACCTCCAGCTCCCCAATTCCACAATAATGAAATTGTACTCTTGAGTTTGGTTTCAAATGCTACCTACACCAGATTAACGTGGTCAGTGTTTTACATATGCTAGCGTTTGGGAAGTGTGCAGGAAGGCAGCTTTTTGTTGGTTTGGAGATTGCACATGAGTTTCTTTATTTAGTATTTAAAGCCAAACAAGTATTGTTTCCCAAAGTGAACATGAAGCATTTTTAGTTCTTCGTAGTAAAGAAAGCCAACGACCAGTACTCAATAACCATTTTTTGAAGAAATGAAGAACCCATGGCCTTGCAGATATTGTTGGATTGTAATCCTATCATCCATGATAATTTGCTATGTTAGCTAGTGCTGGTAGGAGTTGAAGTCCAAGCGCGTTTTGAGGGCCACAGTTTCTTCATCCCAGTATTATTGCTTAAAGAGGCGCATGTAGTCTACATGGGTTTATTACACTAGACAGCTGTGCACAGACTTGTGGGTTTCTGAATGTAGCCCTGACAGAACATTGGTTCTCTCTAATTTAAGCATCAATTAAATATTACACTGATTCAGATTTACTGGTTACACAGCATGATCCAGGGTTGTCTCCTGTAACTTCAGTGGATTTTAAAAATTCCTTTTCACAACTCTGTCTACCCTATCCTAGCATCTCAGTGCCTGATGTTTTGAAAAAGACTTGAGTAGGGCTGGGGGGGGGGGAATAATGTGAGTGTGAAATAATTTTGACCCTTGGTGAGAATGTACATGTTATCTAAGGGATGGCATCTCTTATGCTATAAGAAATGCAAAGAGAGACTTTGTATATACTGGTTTCCCGTTCAGTCTGTCATTGTTACTAGTACTGCCAGTTCCCACAATCCTAACATTCCCTGGGCATCAGTCAGTGTCTGCAAGGAACAATTTTCATGTGAAAAGCCCACAGGCCAAGACTCAGTAGTCTCTAGAGAGCTGACCTCTGAAGTTGAGTCTCTTCTGACATTTTCACAAGCTACTTGAAGTGATTTCTGCAGATTCATTCCATTTGGTAAACTTTTGAACAAAATCCCTGTCCTTTTCAGTAAGATTTATTAAAGCCATTTCCCCCTTTCTCAGTGACAGAATGATGCAATTAAGATGGGAGATGTGTCTGGTGACTAAGTATGATGAAAAATATTGTTTACTGATTCCTATTTTTAAGGAGTACAAAAAGAGTCCATGGTGTTGTTTTACTTCCAGACATTTCTTGTTGATAATGAAGTATTTTGCTGGTAATTAATGTAATGTCTACTTTTTA